AGGCACGTAAATGGTTATTATTTCAGATAAAAGGTCCGATACATACCACTTACAGAAATGCCAACTGCTCCGGACGCTCCACAATAATTTATAGAACAGTAAACAACTCTACATACTTACTAAAAGTTTGAAATAATTGACTAATTTCGCCTACTTATTAAATGGTGTAGCTTAACTTACAACTAACCAAGGGGAAAATATATATACCTCTTCAAATCTTTTAGAAATAGTGGTGGATAAAAATCTAATAAATTGAATTTAATACCTCCAGAAATACACATTAATGTACTACCACTCGAAGATATTTATTTGCTGTTGGCATCTCTACAGTTATACTAGCTGAATTTCCATTCCTGGTAGTTAACAGTACCTAACTAAATGTATGAATGTAAGAGAAAATTTAAATGTAAAAGATTGTGTTTACAACAATAAGTAATTTTATTTGATTAATATAATACTTATACATTCTTTATTCAGTATAACATTTAGAATAAGTCTATATCAGAACTGCTATTTCATTTAAACATTCAACTCAAGATTAAATCACTTCATCTTAAAGTTAGAATTTCTTAAATTTACCAAACAACAAAATGCATGAGAAGAATCCTTTATTTTTACATAAAAAATAGAACTTAAAGTGTAAAATATGTAAAAGTTCATGTTTTTAATTTTCATTTACACTATCGTTGGTCGAACTACTAATAAAACACTTTTCAGAAATGTGCTTTCTTGTACCACATGACCAAATGCTCCTTGTCTTGCATAATAAGTTGGTCTGGACCTGAAACGAATTGTTTGAAAAATTTTTTCTTTAACTTTGTATAGTAAATTGTAGGTAAACAAGACCGAGAAAATTTCATTCAAATAAAAGTAAAAAGTTAATATTAGAAACTGTGAGATTAAAAAAAATTTTTAATGGCAAACAAATCAAAGGTAATTTAATTTTCCTCTTTAGATTAAACGATTAGAAAAAAAGAATATTTTTCTTTAAATTTTTCATTTTTCCTCTATAACATTGAGAGTTATTGAAGTTTATAAAATTTGATTTTCAAAACTGAAGTTAATGAAATATTTTTTCAGTCATTAACTTAAACTGTAAATTAAATAAAGATAAGAAAATAAAAAATAAAGTTTCTAGTTAATGGATTCAGTTTTTATAACAAAAAAATTATTAAAATCCATCTTACTATATACACTTTGATTTTGTTATGCCTAAAAATTAAATTAGAAGTATTAAATTAGTATGTAAAAATTTAGTAAAAATGTATATTAAGAAAAAGTATTAAATTAAATTAAAAAAGTATTAAATTAAATTAAAAAAAGTATTAAATTAAATTATTAAATTAAAAAGTATTAAATTAAATTAAAAAAGTATTAAATTAAATTATTAAATTAAAAAGTATTAAATTAAATTAAAAAAGTATTAAATTAAATTATTAAAGTATAAAAAGGCATTAAATTCATTTTCTGATGGAAAAAAAATTGCATTAGCTTTATGTGATCGTAGAAAAATTATAAAAGTAGTATTCGATTTCCCATTCAAACTATTTCAGTTTCCTTTTGTTTCGCTATCTACATCAAACCAACAAATCAACAAAACTTTTCGTTAGATTTCTGTGATCGTAGTATTCGTAGTATCACAAAAGTAGTATTCCATTTTCTATTACAACTATCTAAGTTTCCATTTATTTTTGGAAGAAATAATGTATCCAATGTGACGACTACTTTAAATAATTCAGAAGATATGAACTCAGTACTACAATAACTCGATGAAAAAATATATTATATTCTGTGATCGTAGTACCGTAGTATCACAAAAGTAGTATTCCATTTTCTATTACAACTATCTAAGTTTCCATTTATTTTTGGAAGAAATAATGTATCCAATGTGACGACTACTTTAAATAATTCAGAAGATATGAATTCAGTACTACAATAACTCGATGAAAAAATATATTATTTTGAAAGTGCTGCTATAAGGAAAAGTTTGCGCTACAGCCTTGATAAAATTGTGCATACCATTTCAATAAATTTTCAATGCAATATAATTTGAAATATGATTCAATTATTTAAGAAATAAATTTATGTAATAAAATTCAAAGACTTACCGAAATTGTAGTGAGTGAGATTGTCTGTCACATTAGCTTGACCTTGATAAAGCAGCCAGAATAATCCAGCTTCTGGGTCATTAGTTACTCCACTAATTTCATATACGTACAGCATTCCAGAAATAGATTCGTATTTAAAACTAAAAAATAAAAAAAAACAGAAAAAATCTAGTAGTGAAGACTATACGTAAAAATATATATATACTATTTTGTTCGATTTATAATGCAGTGTAGAAACTAGAGTTCAGCAATATAACATTGTATCGTCAAATATTGATATTTTGAAATATTGTGCTAACTTTATTTTAAAGTGTTCTTCTTAGGTATCAAATACAATATTTATGATATCAAATATATATTGATATCGATGACAATAGATAGAACAAAATATAACAACTAACATTATCAAAAACGATAAATAGAAAATGGTGAACCTGCCATCAAAAATAATAAAACCATCTTGTATTTAACGACTAGATCACATAGTATTTAAATGTGATGATGCATATCCAGCAACAAAAAATTGTCCCACAGCTTAATTCATGAGTTTCCTTGTCTTCTGGGTTGGGTTCTAAATTGGACATGGAGTTTAACATTGATAGTCACAAACTAAAAAATGGTTTGGCAGTTCAAGGTCGGTTTTAAAATAAAATCAACTTATGACAAATATTTATAAGTCACTTTCGTTGAATATTTAAAACTTTTTACAGTTATAGTTATCAGAATTTATAACTAAAGGAAGAATTATGCCTATCTCTCTAATGCAGTGAAAAGTGAAAGAAGCTATTTTTATATTCTCATCAATGCTGTATACTTATAAACAAATTTTATGTATTTTTATAAACACCCTCATTTGTTCGAGATACTATGAACGTTTTGAAAGAGAAAAATTTAATTTTTTTTTCACGATTAAATAATTACCAGCACTTTTAACCAAAATATCAACTTTCTTGTTGGGCCGCACAGGTGGCCGAGTGGTTAGCGTGTCTGACTGCGGAGCCATTCAGCCATTTGGTAGTGCCGCGTTGCGGTGTCCTAAAATGTTGGACTCTACACTGCCCTACTTTGACACGCCAGTGCCTTTACTCCTCAGTTGGGCTTCCGCTCTAATCAGTGGCCAAAGATGGCTGACACTCCATGGCCCTACTGCAGCAAGTGCGCGGCTGTAGTGCCGCGTTGCGGTGGCCCAAAATGTCGGACTCAACACTGCCCTACTTCGACACGCCAGTGCCTTTACTTCTAGCGGATCCTGCTCAGGGCATGGATGTTTCTTTCTCTCTCTGTGTTCTACGTCCTTTCTCCTTTGTGTGAATGTGATCTGCCCTATAAATGGGTTTGTGGTTGTATGACGTGGGCGACGCTGCTCCACCGCCGTGACTTCGCCACAGGTGCTCACTGGGTAACGAGAAAAGAGTAGCAGTTCTGGCATTCCTGTGGCCGATGGGACAATCCCCAAGTGCCCGCCATTAAAAAAAAGACTTTTTGTTGATAAAATTACTTAAATTTGCTGTCCTCAGTTTTGGCTAATTCCATTACGTCATAAGCTGTATAGTTTTCTGGCACTCTCAGTGAGATGGTGTGGATGACATCGATTTCGTCCCCAACAAAAAGGGAGTACTGGATACGCATTTTTGGACCAGCATAATCACTAATTTCAGATGAAAGATTATCTGTAAATTAATTAAAAGAAAATTATATATTTGAATCGAATTATTATATATACATTAAAAGTAAAAAAGCCATATAACATGTTACCACCACTAATTACACAAACATATATAATAGCATACCTGCAAACTTTTAATTCCTTCCATTATCATTTTCCCAGTGGTATTAAAATGGAATTAGAACTTCAACTTTAAGCAAACAAATACGCTGTATTTGAGAAAACTTAAGTTGGTAAGGCATATTAATATATCTGCTTAATTTTTCCAAGAATAGTGGTGATTAAAATCATTAAAAAATTAAGTTTATAAAAGAAAAAATAATATATATTTACTACCACTTTAAATATGAAAATAAAATCTTCCGGAAAATCCGGAAGATTTTATTTTTATATTTAAAGTGGTAGTAATACTCAGGTTATTCCAATTAACTTTTTGAATTATAATGATAATTATAAATGAGTTTGACCACCACTACATATAAATAATTACAATAAATATATGAAAGCATAATAATCCTTGCGCAAGCGAATTTCAACGGGATCAAAATATAAATATATTTTTGAGTCAGATTGTTTTTCGTTTATTGTTTTACAACCACTCTGAAAATCCATTCTCGGAAAGAGTGAAAGTTNAAGATCACAGAAATAGAAACCTGGTGCCTAGACTGGAAGTTTAAAGTAAACGGCCAAAAATCGAAACTACTAATCATTCAACATAAAAGAAAAACGATCCTCCCTAAAAATCAAGTTGTACTCTTTAACGAAACGATACCCATAGTCAAAACAGCAAAATATCTTGGTCTGGTCATAAACAGCAAATTTAATTGGAAAGATCACGTCAAAACAGTCATCAACAAAGCACAAACAGCCTACCACAGATTACAAATCCTTCTTCAGAACCCTAAAATGGAGCTCAGACTTAAACGTTTACTTTACATCTCGATGATCCGTCCCATCCTGACTTATGCATCTCCAGCTTGGTGCAACATCTCCACATCACTCCTTAAAAAACTCAAAATATGCTAGAATAAAATCCTCAGGAAAATAACAAAAGCAAGATGGTTCATCCGCAATAAAAACATACATCGCGACCTCAACATAGATTTTTTAGATCATCATCTGGCAAAGTTAAATTTCAGATTTTTCGAAAAGACCATAAATTGTGACACCGCAGGATTCAACGAAATTTTTACTTTTGAAAACTTAAGAGAAGACATAAACCTCAGGCCGATGGCAGCTCATTTTTGTAGTGACGTAATTTTAACTAAAATACAAAATATTTAATTTCCTTTTATTCCAGTTGCATTCCAATTACCAGAAAGAACCACCTTAAAGACCACAATACAAGACGAATGGAAAAAAGGCGGCTAACGGCCCCAGGCGCCCAGATATATTTCGATGATGATGATGATGATGTCACTACGGTAGGCAAACAACTGAGTAATAAAACATAGGGTTGTAATACATAGAGATGTCTCAAAATCTCGCAAAACAATATTACTGACAGCTTAAGAAGTCTATCTTCATGTTTATTTTCTTTGCAAGAGGGCAATATTTTATAATTGTCCTTTGTCTTTAATGTCTATTGAGCTTAACGCTCTTTAAAGTTTTGGACTGTTTACTTAGAATAATTATACTTACTAATTTTAAAATTTTCGTTTGCGTATTTAAATATAATTATGAAAAGACAAATGATTCTATAATTAGTATTACTTTCCACGACCAATACTTTAATCGACACAATTTTACCCATAAATGTTCACATAATTTTTGAAGAAAACGGTCAGAAAAAGGCCTTTTTTATTCAATAAATTATATAAAACTAAGTGGATGTTGTATTCATATTTAATTTTGAGGTAAATCAGAAATAAGCATATTTGACGAGTTATGACATCTAGATTAAAATAAACTAGCTCATTACAAATAGAATGATGCAGCCATTTGGGGTGTAGATTGAAAAATATACAAGATTCCGGGCAAAGAAGAAAAAAAAGATTGTTTTAATCTTTTGATCACTTTAAGCTAGAAATATCACGGACGTTAGAAATAGATTCCCGTCATTTTGACGACAGCGAGAAGGAAGTCGTCTATTTGGATTCTTTCGGTATTTTTTTAGAAACTTCACCTGCACATGTTGCAGCTTAATTAAGAGATATATTGATAAGAGTTATTATTTATGTCTTGATAGCGAAGACCATTTTTAATCCAATTTCAGAACAATAATAAAATCTTGTAACTGAAGTTTTCTTGTCACTTTATTTGGGCATAGTATCCGACTGAAAAATTTAAAAATTAGCAGCTTTATTATAAAAGCAACAAAATCAAGTCAATTCAGTAAATAATCTAATGTTCTTTTGAGCTAGAGTTGTAATCTAACAAAGAAGTAAAATAAAATAGAATGAGGAATTTATTACCATATCCACTTCTCCTTGGATTTAAACTGCAATTTACTTTGGCGACATCTGAAAGGCTTTTGGCATTGAGGACTGGAAGAGCTAGGTAACTGGCTAAAAGATCATGAGGTAGTGATAGTTTACGAATCAGGTGTTTTATGGTGGCATTTAGCTTCCAGTCTCTTGAGTATTCATGGCCACTTGAAAGAAGTGCCTGTAACAGCGTGGACACGAGTTAGGGTTAATGACGTGTCTGGTTTCTCAACAAGAATTTTTTTTTTATATTGTTCATGCTCATAATATGATTTGCCTTTAGATTTACTAATGTAACTAAAAAAACGGTTAATTAATGACATCCACTATTTAAATGTATAATACCTCGTGTGTGTGAATTACACTAGGTCAACCAAAGACGCCATATGACGTCATTCTCGGTCTAAAATGTGTTAACACCAGAACTTTTCAAAACTCCAGAACTTCATAAAACATTTAGATTATTAACATGGTTTTTGAAACTCTGTCACCAAGGAAACAAAAAGTGCTAAAGTTTAGGTGACTTACACTTGAAGCAAAGCGATGATTTTAATCTGTATATATAATTTTGCCGTGAAGACCATCGTCATCTTGCCGTGTGATCTCGGCTGTAAAACGGACAAATAACTCAAATATTTTAAAAGCTTTTGAACTTTTTAACAAATCGCCAAATTAGCGATATTTTTTACCTACATTAATAATTATCAAAATAATACCTTATTCTCAGTTTTTGCAAATTTTTATGAGCTCAGATAATGGAGCATTAGAGAACGGTTTTAAATATTAAAAAATCAGACCAGAAACGCTTTTCACTTTCACAGAGATGTGGCTTTTCTCCATACAGACGTTTTAGACTGGTGTTACTGGTTTTAGATAGGCTAAATTTGATTTAACAGTCATGAGTGACTGTTAAAAACTCACAGCAGTTATGAAAGTAGCATATTATTTACAAAAGATAAGCATCATTTCATATGAGCCTTCCAAAACAATCCTTAAAGAAAGGAAAACTAAAATTTGCCTTTATTACTGATAAGAGGTTAGCGGATACCTGTACTATTGTAAAAAGTTACATATTAAAAGGATAAATTTCGATACTTAATAATCATACTCATCAATTATGTCTTTCATTTTTCAGAAATCAATTATTGTACATATCAAATCATGTTGTATCATTATTTTTAATTTAAGTCTAGAATCAATATTTCGAATGTTATGTAAAAACGCCAATTTGTCATAATGAAAATTTCATTGCTTTATTATTTCACAAGAAAACGGCTTGATTTTTTTATGGCTACCACAATGTAAATATGCTCCTTTCAAATTATGTATATATTTATACGTGTCAATTTAAATTCGATATTCAAATGTTATATCTACTATATTTATCTATGTCAACCTATGTATATATATTTCAAATTATGTTTTTAATTATATGTGTAAATTTAGTTTCGATATTCAAATGTTTATTTACCCAAGCAAAGTGCTTGTAATTTTGTATTAGCTACCACATCGACTGCTAAATTCAAAATGTTATCACTTCAAACTTATGTAAATTTCTAGATGTATGGGATAGGGGACGCTGCGCGGCCAGGGAGCCCAATTTTTTCTAAATGAAGTTAATAATCATACCCATCTATAAAAATCTGTGTATAGCATTACATTCTCAGAATAAATGCCCTGAGAACAAGAAAATGCAAATGCTGCTTCAAAACTTCGCTCCTTCTTTTTTATTCAAATACAAATCGCCTTCCCAATCGCAAAAATATCACGGGTGATCGAGAGCATCATTGTCTACAATAAGCCAACGTAGCCACAATAAGCCTTGAGCCACAATAATCCAAGCACTGCCTTAAGATACATAATTTGATTTCTTCCAACTTACCTGAGTTATTAAAGATGTAGTGTGAACGTTTCCAAAACTCCCATCGGAATGCTGCATTTGTTTGAAATGTTGAATGATGCGTAGATAATGATTTTTCAGATTGCTATTTTCAGTTTCTTCAAGAATATTGGTCTGATTCTGGAAACAAGAAATAGCCATGGTTGCGATTGCTTGATAGTCTGTAAAGTCATATAATCAGAAATTAAATGGCAAAAACTTACTTTATTTATTTTAAAATATTATGTCTTATATATGAAAATTTTTATAAATACACTATTTTTATTGGTGTTTTAAAACAAAAAATGATGACGGAGGAATGTGTTTTTCTTAGCTTAGGTATAAGCAACAGCTTTATTAATAAAAGTAATTTTCCCATATTGAGAATGGTAACTTTATTTCACTTTCAAACAAATGACGTTGTCAATTAGAGCTTGAGTCACTATCTCTTCTTCGAACTTGTACACCACCAGAAAGTCAGGTCTTTTAGTTACAGTAAAAATAAAAAGTAACTTGATATAAAATTTTATTAGTTAATGTGATTTTCGGGAGGCTTTTAGTTAACATTTATGATCTAACTTACTATCCTTAAATTTTAATTACGAGAATTACTTGCATGTTATTTTAAAACAATAATTTACATCCAATTTTTTTCAAACCTTCATTAGACAGCCTACCCAATTTTTGGGCTTACGACTACTAATGTTCAACAGCCTTGTAATTTTGAACCCAATCCAGAAGACAAAGAAACTCCTGGACCAAGTATCGGAAGAAATTTGCCTTCGTGGAGAACTTTTTGATGGAACTAACCCGCTTTTGCGTTAAATGGAGAGAAAGACCACGAGAACCTCCCACGATTAGATTGACGGCAAGGGGACTCTAACCCATGATCCGTCTACCACTGAATATTTTAACGTTAGCACTGTGGTCAGTGCAAGCCGGATGCGGAATTCGTGTCGACTGGGATTCGAACCCGGTTCACCTCATTGGAAGGCGAAGGTTCTATCCTCTGAGCCATCGCGGCTCACATTTTCATTCAATTTTTGTAAGTTTTAATGATAACCTTATTCCCATTAAAAATTACTCCGAGTATAGATTACGGATTTTTAGCACTTTCCTCAATGTCACCGCTCATATGTTCTGGACAAACTCTTATGTAAACACAACACTGCAATAACTGTTTTGGGCAGAGCTTACGTAAGTGAAAGCACAATATTTGAGTATTTTGCAACCAAAATTGCCCAACTAACCTACATAAGATTTTCGGGTACTAATGTTTAACACCACAGCTACTTTCGAACTAAGCGCAGAATTATGGGAATTCTAGGATTGGCATTTAAACAAACTAGCTTCCATGGAGGACTTTTTGATGGAAATAACCATCATTTATATTTGATGGAGAGAAAAATCCGGGTCAACCTCATGGTTAAAGATTTCTTATTCATAATTAGTCTGCTACTGACTAAACAGAGATGCCAACTGCTCCGGACGGGCCACAATACTTTAAAAAACGGTAAACAACTACATACTAAAATTTCCAAATATTTGACTACTTTTGTTTACTTTTTAAACGGTGTCGCGTGACTCAAATGAAAGAAAGTGGCGAATTATATATGCTTTTGAACTATTTAGAAATAGTGGTGGATAAAAACCTAATAAATTGAATTTATTAAACCACGATTCACACATTAATAAACTACCACTCGAAAATATTTATTTGCTGTCCGGAGCAAGTTGGCATCTCTGACTAAATGTCATACCAGAACTGTGGTTGTTGAAAGTGTGAGCTGTAAGCCATGGTTAACTTTACCGATAAATGACCGCCTCTTTCTAGGATTCATCCTAGCTGTTTTCCTGTCTACCTAGGACCACACAAATTTAAAAGAAAATTGATATTTGACGTTTATGAAACAAAAATGTTTACTTATATAAAATAAGCAAAGATGGAAGAATTTAGGCAAAATAGTGCAGATCTAGTTCGACGTTGAAAAACAATATTACACAGTACAGACATAAAAAGTTGTAGACAGATTTTAAGAAAATCTCACGCATCATGGGGCTAACTTTCGTGTTTTTGCATCAAACGCAACATCCAAACTAAAGTTCCGAATATTAATTATTTTTTGGAAATTTTAATAAAAAAAAACCGGGGTCTCATTTCGATTTAGCTTTATGTGTGTAGTTTGAAATCATGTAACGGATGAGTTAGTTTAATAAATAGCAAAAATTATTTTAAAAAAATAGTAACTCATTCTTAAGTAATTTTTTCTCACCTCGAATGAAAGGATAGCTAGAATTGGTACTTAAAATTTTATTCAGGTCTCCAATAGCTTTAAGTGGCCAAGATTCCTTAGCATTGCAAAGAGTTAAATACGCTATTGGGTGTGTGAAATTACTTGGCATCTGTACTTGCTGCTTAAGACGTTTGATTAAGTTCTGTCCATAAAAATGACGAGGGTTGTGACATGTTACCAATAATCCATTAATGATCATACTTAGTTGCTCATTTGAAAGTGACTTCCTGAAATAAGAAGGTCAATTTGTACATTCTAAGTATTTTATATTTTTATTGTTAGGGATGCTAATTGGTACACTGTTTGTAAAATATTTTACAAAGTGGTGGACAAATAAAAACTGAAGCTTTCAGATTTTTAGTAATTTCGTCAAAAGCATCACCACGTTAAAAATAGGTGATGTTTTATATGAACTTTTGAATCATTAGGAGTGTGAAAAATAACTGCTATTTATTTTTACAAAACAAAGAATCATACACAGCAACAACAACAACAAAAGCAGTTTACACAAAAAAAGTGGAGAAAGTTGGTAGATCTGATTTGTATTCAAGTAATAAATCCCATTGTGTTTAATACGACAATTTCCAGACATCATTTTTTGAAATTATTTTTCTCTTCATAACAATAGATATAATTTACAAATTATTTATTAAAAATTAATTTCTCTAGAAATGCTTTCCAGTTTTTTTTTTACATAGATCAACTCATTCAGGGGCCGTGGTGACCAACCCACTTATTATTGATCATAATATAAACACCTAAAATTGCAACTTAACCTATTCGGGTTTTAATGAACCACCTTTAATTTTGGAAAATGAAACCATAAAACGATTCGTCTGCTTTATGCTCTATTCGTCTGCTTCGAGAAATTTTCACAATTGAATTGCGCTTCGGCGATTTATCATACATTCCTACTCAGACGACTTAGTTAGAGCCCCTCGCCAGGCTGATGCAAAAATAACTACCACATATGAGTATGAGAAGACGAGAATTCTAACATTAACACAGAACAACTTAACAGATTAAATGCCGACTTTTTTTATGAACCAATTAGATTTTTTATGACCGATTTTTTTATAAACCAATTTTTTATAATCCAATCAAATCAAATCCTCTTGCAACATCATATATGTGTTTCATTTCAAAGAGCGGCTGTTCTCCCTTATTTATCGAAATATGTCCCAAAGTCAAGGATTCCAATAAGACTACGAAACTACAACCTTTATTTAATAATTTTACGCTATATATAGTAAAAGATCGCAGGAATTAAATTTCTGTCTTACATGTTTAACTTTTTAAAGCTTTTATATTGTTTTGAAAGCATAATTGTAACGAAATTATACTGTATAATTTGATAACAAACTAAAACTATACACAGAGGCGAATGATTTTTTTCTTCTTAAATTAGAATGGAGTATGGAACATCAACTTTAAAGTTTATTTTAATTTTAAATATTTTTAACTTGAAACAAAATATTCAAATGATCTGAAAAAAAATTATAAAATTCAAAGAGTGTAAAAAAGACTTAAAACTTACTTTAATAAAGCAATAGATGCTTTAAGTTCTGAGTGTTTTGCCATTACTTCCTCTTCGAGGTTTCGCCCGTCAAATTTAGCACCACCAGATAGAAACAGCGCAAGGAGAGCCCTAGCCGTATTCTCATTCCAACCCCAGGAGGAAGTTCGCTTACTTTTCAATCTTTGTATTTCTCTCGAGAGTGCCGCAGCTACACCTTCTATTTTAGCTATACCTGTTACAAAATGATTCAGTACAAATGAGTAAGAACTGTATAATAAAAAGAATTTTGCAAAAGAAGAATATAAAACTCTTTGATGTGTGTAAACTTTTCAAAAATCACGTCCCGGAGTGAAGTGATTGTAAGGACACGGTTCCCAGTAGAACACCGAAGTCAAGTATAATTGACAGTAGTCATTGAGAGGGTGGGTGACAGATTTGTTTTGCCAGCATTGGAAAAGCTGGTGGACTGAGTAGGTCCTCGTGAAACTGGTCTAACGTAAAGTGCTCCCAAAGAGGGGAAGCCATCCCCTCAGTAGAGAATCAAAACTGAGATGGTATGTTTTCGGATCATCCTTCGAAGACATACCAACACAGTTATGTCTCCGCATTTAAACAATTTTAAAACATTTAAACAATACTAAAACGGTTTGTTATAAAACATACTCTTCAAGCATTACGAAATTTCCGTAATTTCAGAAAATATATATTTTTTCCATGGCAATAAAAGTATTGAATTAACATTTTTTATGAATTAAAATTAAATGAATCTCATTTACTACGTATAAGTAATTTAAACTGTTATATAAAAGTTCATACAAAACAATAGTCAAGTTTTTAAAATTTGATAACTCCATTAGTTATGAAAGATGTTGCGTTAGCTTCCTAACTGTAGAAAAATTTTTTGCCGAAAACTGAAATCTTAGAGGTTATGTAATTGCAAACCTGTGCAAACATGTTTTATGTTAACCATGTAGTAAAAAAAAAAAAAAGAAATAATATATATTTCTTAGGTCCCCAAAACTTTATGAGTCGTATGTTTACATCATGAGGTTGGTCGCTAAGGGCGTGGTTCACAAATTACTAGACTAGACTAGACATATAATTGTTCAAAGTGCCTGCCCGCGAAGCGGGCATCTGACTTTTTCATCTCATAATGCGTGCCCTTGGGCGACTAAGACTTTTGGCTTTGGTGAGGAGAGAATGGAGTACGGGGGAGGTCCCCTGAGTCAAGGTAGGATTAAAGATAATGAGAGTTATAATGCACAAGGTTATGTACATATCTGATGGATGGTTCACAAATAGATACCTACCAACTTTTAATCACTTCAAAATAGTTTTAACCTAGTGGTAGTAAAACGAAATTTGAATTGACATATTCAGAATTTCCAATCTTTCAATCCAGAATTTCCAAGGTCCACTCTTTACTTACTTTATTTAAAAAACAGCTGGGCACCTGGGCCGCGCA